TTTCTTACATTTATTTTGTAAAAAATGAATTTTGTTTAATAAACACAGAAGCAAATGGTATTTTTATGACTGTTGTTTTTAGTTTGCATTTTAAAAATTGTCCTAATTGCAGCAAAATTTGACTAGTCTGTGTTAGTTTCTATTTATTTTTTCTTTTTTTTTAAACAGCTCTATTGAGCTATCATTGGTATATGATTTTTTATATATTTAAGGTGTACAATTTGATGTTCTCCTATACATATATACTGTGAAATGATTACCATGGTTTTTTCTTTCTGAAATTTTATTGGTCTATGAAATCCGGAAATTTGGAAAAGTGTTTGATGCAGGGCAATTCTAAACAAAAAATCATTACTATTCAGTTTTATTTGACAAGCTTTCACTGATCATCTTCATTTTGAAATTCTTAAATAGCCTTCACATTTGTAACCCTTGTTTTCCAACAAAGTATGTGGTCCTTAAGGGCATAAGGACCTCTCCAACTTTTTCAGAATTTCTCAAGGAGCTAACCTAGCCATGTGGGTGCACGGTAGACATTCCTAAATGACTGAATCAGATGATGGTCTACACTTGTTTTTGTATAGAAATGAGAATGAGTCACTGTCTGGAACTTGTCCCCTGACTTGGGAATGTTAAGCCTTTGGACCACTTTTCCCTGGCTCCCTGGTGGGCCCTTCTTCCTTGCAAGGGCCTCAGGGACATGATGGAGTTTCCTTTTCTCTTTAATGTCCTTTTCGGTTACTCAGACCTCTAGAATTCTTTTACTCACTCTACAAGTTTATGCTGCATACTGGGATGGAGCTTTCCTAGGTTCCTCTTTTCTCTTCCTGAAAAAACACACAGGCTCTTTTTACGTTGAATTTTAATACTAATCCCTCCTGGTAATCAGACATGAAATAACAAAAATGGTAAACTATATCAAGTTATAATGGTTAAGAAATCTTACCGAATTCTATCAGGCCTGTTTCCTGGTCTATAATTTTTGACTTCTTGATGGAAATGCTAACTAGGAATCCCAAACATTTATTCTTCAAGGTGAATTTCTTCAGAAGTCTTATTCTAAGGCTAGCATATCCAATCAGAGAAAGAAAATTAAGATGATCTAGGTTAATTTAGGTGCTATCCTAGGCTAAATAATAGCCACCTAAAGATAACTTATCCTAATCCCAGGAACTTGTAAAGTTACCTTATAAGGAAAATGGAACTTTGCAGAAGTGATTACATTTAAGTATCCTGCATAGGGAGATTATCCTGCATTATCTGGGTGAACCCTGAATACAATCACAAGTGTCCTGGCAAGAGAGAGGCAGAGGTTGATTTGACACCCACACAGATTGAAGAGAAGGAGGCAATGTGACCACTGAGGCAGAGAGTAGAGTGATACAGCCACAAATCAAAGAATGTCAGCATCCACTAGAATCTGGAAGAGACCAGGAATACATTCTCTTTAACACATCAGAAAAGATGCTGCATTGGTCATGGTGGCTCATGCATGTAATCTCAAGACTTTGGGAGACTGAGTCTGGTGGATCACTTGAGCCCAGGAGTTCGAGACCAGCCTGGACAACATGGCAAAATCTTGTCGTTACAAAAACAAAAAAAACAAAACCAAACAAACAAAAAACGAACAAACCAAAAATGAACCAGGCGTGGTGGTATGCACCTGTAGTCCCAGCTACACTGGAGGCTGAGGAGAGAGGATCACCTGAGCCTGGGTGGTCAAGGCTGCAGTGAGCTGTGATTGTACCACTGTATTCCAGCTTGGGTGACACAGAGAGATCTTGTCTCAAAAGAAGAAAAGAAAAGATTGTGATCCGGTGAGCACCCTGATTTTGAACCAGTAATACTGATTTCAGACTTCTGACATTCAGAACTGTGAGACGATAAATTTCTGTTGTTTTAGCCCATGACGTCTGTAGTGATTTGTTAGCACAGCCATAGGAAACTAATAGAAAGGCCCACTTGTCTTAAATTCCTATCATTTAAACTGTGGGATTGGTAACATCCATTTTAAGGGGTTCTTGCCCCATTTCTTTACTTTTTCTGGTAATTGTCAAGCTGAGCAGAAACTATTTTTACATTATCAGAGTTACACTTGAGAAATTGGGATTTGAGAAAGGCACAAAAAGAAAGATGATATACTTAACCACTGTTCTTTCATCTAATAAACATTGTGTAAATTCCTACTATGTGTCAAGCTTTGTGCTAAGTCCTAGAATAAAAATGGAATAAGACCAGATTTTGTCCTTAAGAAGTTCAGTTGAGTAGGAGAATTAGACACACATATACATATAATTAAGTTAATTAGTGGAAAATGCAGTAATGATTATGTGCAAAGAGTATTGTATTTTTTCTCTTTTTTAACAGCTGTGCATTTCATATTTTGAAAAACACTGTCTACAAAAGAGTTTCTGTGTTTAAGTAATATATAATAGATCAAGAACAGTTCTAACCGCCAATCGGTTTTACAATTAACATAGGAAGATCAGTGTTATACCACTAGCTTACCATTATGTCAGCCAAAAATCAAAGGTATCTGTCATTTGAGTTTTTATCGTGAAGTCTGTTCCTGGCAAAAGTGTGATTTTCCTTATGATATTTTAAATACTGATGTAGCTGCAGAATGCTGTCCTCATTACTTTCAAGAGTGGCCTTTCCTAGTTTTGAAAATACAGCCACTATGTCATTAAACAATCTGGTTGGCCAGGCGTGGTGGCTCACGCCTGTAATCCCAGCACTTAGGGAGGCTGAGGCCGGTGGATCACCTGAGGTCAGGAGTTCAAGAGTAGTCTGTCCAATGTGGTGAAACCCCATCTCTATTAAAAATACACAAATTAGCTGGGCGGGTTGGCACATGCCTATAATCCCAGCTACTCTACTTGGGAGGTTGAGGTGGGAGAATTGCTTGAACCCAGGAGGCAGAAGTTGCAGTGAGCCGAGATTGTGACATTGCACTCCAGCCTGTGCAACAAGAGTGAAACTCCATCTAAAATAATAATAATAATAATAATAATAATAATAAAACAATCTGGCTTAGAGAAAATTGTATTGCAAAGAACCTCATTAACGAGAGTTCCTGCATAACAGGACACTAGCTCTGTCCCTTGGGGATGACTTGGAGTACTGTTTCCTGGTAAAGCAACATAAACAAACCTCAGGCCCCTTTTACAGAGTTATGAAATGATAGCCATAGTTAATAACCAACATTTATATAGGCATTCTATCATTTTACTAAAGAATTTTACAAAAGTACCTGATTATGGGTTGCTTTAACTGTAAGCAAACCCAGTTTCATTACCTCAAGCAAGTTTCTTCATTTCTTTTAGCTTCCATTTCTCTTTTTTTTTTTTTTTTCTTTTTAGACAGAGTCTCACTCTGTCGCCCAGACTGGAGTGCAGTGGTGTGATCTCAGCTCACTGCAACCTCCGCCACCCAGGTTCAAGTGATTCTTCTGCCTCAGCCTCCTGAGTAGGTGGGTCTACAGGCACCCACCACCACGCCCGACTACTTTGTGTATTTTTAGTAGAGACGGGGTTTCCCATATTGGCCAGGATGACCTCCATCTCCTGACCTCGTGATCCACCTGCCTCGGCCTCCCAAAGAGCTGGGATTACAGGTGTGAGCCACCGCACCTGGCAGTCCATTTCTCATCTTTAAAGTGAGAGTGCTAACACACACATGGAGGGGCTACTATGAGAATGGAGTGAGATTTTGTATATGAAGTAGCAAAGGCAGAGCCTGGGACTTAGTAGGTACATTATTAAGAATTGGAGCCATTTTAAAAATCTTTTGTCTTTTTGTTATTTTTGCTGTTGTTCTGAAAGTCGCTTAGCTTTTAAAAATGGTCTCTTATTTTACTATTGTTGAATTGCTTCACGCTTCTCAACTCATGACAAGAACCTATTCTGCCAATGAACCTCCTGCCCCCATGTATTGAAATTAAACCTCAGGAGCACCAGTGCATCCCAGAATTTGACTTCCCTCCAGTGGTGAGACTCCTTGGGTTCTTTGTGTGCTCTTTCTCTGATCCTTTACGTGTCACATGGTTAAAAAGAACATAGTATTATTTATAAATAATATGCTCTCTAACTTTAGAAAGATTCAGGACAGCTTTCTGGATTTGGTCATGCATGAAACAAGAAAAACAGCCTATTAGAAAGTTGTATGAAGTCTATCAGGGACTTGATATGAATTCATTTTGATTTTTCAAACTATGGACTGCAATCAATCGGTTCATTAAATTAATTGGAATAAGTATATTGCATATAGTGAGAGTAGTAGTATTTTTTGAAATTTTAGTTTTAATTACATCCTATGGCCTATGTTGTAAGATTTTTTTTTTAAAGAGTTTAAAAGCCATTTGATTAGGCAACTAGTAGTAAACTTTTTCTGTCTCTCATTAGTTGTTAAATTTGGAAAAGTTTTTGGTTTAACAAACCTTTACTGGATATCTATTTTGCATTGGATATTTTTCTACATGAATGACATTTTTTTTCTCTCTCTCTTTTCTAATATTGATTTGTTGCAGTGTCGGATAGGTACCTGGGTCACCTCCACACCCTTCTCACTCTTCACTGGGCCTCTGGTACAAGATTGAGAGAATTCCTATTACTTACTAACAGACTGAGTAGTAAAACAAAAAGATTCCCAAATACAGTGAATCTAAGTTCCCCTAGAGCCCCTAAGAATGACATCAGCTTTAACCATTAATTCCCTGGGTTCTTCTTATTCAGTAATGTCTTAAAACCTTTTTATCAGTATGGGATGGGTGGGCAAGGGGATAAAGAAACTGGTGGCTAGTGGGAAGCCTTAGGTAAGTGCTATCGGGGGGCTTTAGTTTGGGAGTGGGATAATTTGCTGAGGAAGGGTGGGAGAAATGTGAGCTAGTGCATAAAAGGCTGTTTCGGGATCAAATTTCGTTACCAAGTCTCTTTGAGATGAACTCTTTTGGGGGAAAACAACCAGTCCAAAAGAGCTGGATGTGTATGTGTGTGTGTGTGTGTGTGTGTGTGTGTGTGTGTACGACGGGGCAGCGAGGGTCCCCACTTTAAGTATGAGTAGCATTGTTCACATGTTTGCCAGTATTTTGGAGCCTGGCAGGCCGGGCTAGAGGCTGCGGGGGACGCCTCCAAGTTCCCACCCGGGACATCCTGAACAGCAGCAGCCACAACAACAGGCTCGCCCGTAGACAAAGGGGCCGGCGCGGCGGAGCAGACTGGTGCAGCCTGGCCCTCGCGCTCGGAGCGCTGGGCGTCGGGGCAGCGGAGTGGGCAGAGCTGACCCGGTGCGGGTCGGAGTCAGGGCACCCGGAAAACCCGGCTCTGGGTAGCAGACCCCGCCCGGGCTGGCTCGGCGCCGGGTCTTCGGGCTTCCCCTCAGTCTTTGACCCTCGGTCCTCGCTCAGCGGCCCCGCAGGCCGTGCAACTGTAACCGCTGCCCCGGCCGCCGCCCGCTCCTTCTCGGGGCCGGCGGGCACAGAGCGCACCGCGGCGGGGCCGGCGGCATGGCTGTGTCCTGGAGGAGCTGGCTAGCCAACGAAGGGGTTAAACACCTCTGCCTGGTAGGATGGCGGGCTAGGCTCTCCGTGCGTTTTCTCTGTCCTGCAGCGATTTTGATTCATTCTCTGAGCGTGCACGGGTGGGAAGCTGGAAGTGGAAGTTTTGCCTTAATTCGAACATTCTCCACTAACAAAACTTTATGCTGGAGATAACAATGAACACTCCCCCACCTCGCGCCTGTCCCCAAAATGCATGAGAATTTTTCTGCACATTGTTGAGAGAGGAGATGTGGAGGAAGAGAGAAGAGGTCATTTTCAGTGAACACAGCTTTTCCTTTACCCTTTAAACATTTTTGCTTCCTTTGTTCTTTTCCCAGATTACTTCTGTTCGCTTGGGGTATGGTGATGTCATTAATTTCTTAATCTCATTTTGTATGGCAGGGGATAGCTGTAAATCATTTAGGAGGCCTATTTGCAACCCAAATGCTTAGTCTCAGGTGAAAGGGCCGGGTAAAGTCAGATTTGTTTTCCTCTGAGTGGTTTTCAGCTTGCTGGTTAATTGAAAATGCTTACTGCAGTTACTGGTTTAGGTTCCATTGAAAGCACCGTGGCCAAGAATTTACCTATGGTTTCTATTCATCAGGTAATAATTATTTTCAATTTTTGTTTTCTGTCTCTCATGTCTGATTGGTTTAGCTTATCTGGCTGTCCATGAATGTCCTACTTTTCTGGAAAACCTTCTTGCTGTATAACCAAGGGCCAGAGTATCACTACCTCCACCAGATGTTGGGGGTAAGTAAGTTGAACTTGGATGATCTGGTGGAATGGGTTTAACACTGGCAGACTTTGCTACAGGTTTGGTCAGTTCCATTCTTTAAAGAAATGTGCACTCTTCACTTTAGAAACATTCGTTGTTCTCTAAAGTGGTCACATTTTCTTGATTTATCATTTACGCTTGTACAAGTTAGAAAGACTGACTCTCTCAAGAACCAAAGGTTCACTTCTGCTGAAGTGAAACGAATGAACCTGCCAGACCAGGTTATTGGTGCCTTAAAAAAAATTGCTACTTATTGCCAGCTGCTAAGTATCCTGAAGGATCTGATTCACTAGAAGGACCAACCAATGACAAGCTTTTAATTTACTCTTATCAGTGCTTTTAGCCTGCTCATGAGCTTATCCAGAGGATTTCTGCACTGTTTGCTTTTACTGACAACTCTCACAAAGTGTGGGTCTAATGGGGTTATTCATTTCTGGGCAGTTCTCAGTACTTGTTTTGGGTTAGTGGCTGATGATATTCCAGAATTCTAGTATAATATGAGAAAGATACTGGGCAAAACATTTTTTCTGATTTATTTTATGTTAATATTTTTCTTTCTCTCTTTTCTATGATGTTTCTGATTTTATTCTTCCATTCCATCTCCTTCTTATTTGACTGCTTAACAGAAGATAGTGTCACTGAAGGCATATTGCTTTGTACAAGGAGATTGCATTTTGTTTTGTTTTGTTTTGTTTTGTTTTGAGACAGAGTCTTGCTGCAGTGCCCAGGCTGGAGTGCAATGGAGTGATCTCGGCTCACTGCAACCTCCATTTGCCTGGTTCAAGCAATTCTCCTGCCTCAGCCTTCTGAGTAGCTGGGACTACAGGCACATACCAGCATGCCTGGCTAATTTTTGTATTTTTAGTAGAGATGAGGTTTCACCATGTTGGTCAGGCTGCTCTAGAACTCCTGACCTCAAGTGATCCGCCTGCCTCAGCCTCCCAAAGTGCTGGAATTACAGGCGTGAGTCACCAAGCTCGGTTGAGATTGCATTTTCTAAGCAACAAGCAAAAAGTGTAAAACACTGCAAAAACTTAAGGAACCTGAAAAAATAGATTTTGCATTTTGGGGTCGGGGGAGAATAAAAAACACATTCTGCTTTTTTTTTTTTTTTTTTTTTTTCGTGGTTTCATGACTACTTAAAATTAAGATGAGTTCAGACAAATTCAGTGGAACCAGCTCTCCATTCTGTGCTTTACATGGACAGATCTTATTTATCTGTAATTCTCAGTACCCAGACTAGTGATTGGCACATATTAAGCCTGCAACAAGTTGCAGTTGAATTAATTAATTAATATTTATACAACAAAGTAATATCATAATCTGTTGATCACATACTTTATAAAGTTTAACTTCTAGGTTTTAAGCCAATGGGTTGGAAAAAAATAGTCTGTAAAGCTAAACCTATTTTATTGGTAACTCTTCAATTTGAATGTTTATTTCTTTCATCCACCCAATCCAGGAACTGTCTTGAAACCTATACTTTTCAGATTGGCACCCAGAGAGTAAAACCTAACTTTGCCCCTCAAGTTGCTTTACAATGTAATGGAAAAACCAACAAATAAATAATTGTAATTCAATAAACAAGTGAAGGTTTCTTCTAATAAACACATGACGTTTGATAACTTTTTAGTTTTGTTTTCTAGTATTTCCCCCTTAGGTGTAAGTTAATGAATAGGATGTTTTTCAGTGGAAGTTTTATCACATCTATTACATAACTTGATGAACAACTTGGAGAAAAGTCTTTAGATATACAATAGTAAAATTTGCTCTGGGTCATGAGGTATTTGTATTAATATAAAATCTAAGAATTGGAAATTTATTGCAATAACCTAGAAAGCCATAACTGATCTTTGGATTTTAGCTCTGTGACATAGTATAAACTAAAATAACATCTTATTTTTTTAAAAAATAATTGTTTTGGAAACCAACACTTTAATTTTTATGAACTTACTGTATAACAGAATTTCAAATTTATTTTGGTAATAAGTCAGATATGATTAAGATCACATACGCACAGAAACATAAACCAACAAATTTGGAAAACATTTAAAACTGTGTTTCACCTCTCTATCCCACTTCACTGCTCCTGCTTGAATGATAGGCTAATGAGCTTCAAGGACTGCTGGCACATAGGGCTTAATAAATATTGATCAAGGGAATGAAGAAAAAAATGACAAAAGGACCAAATAGAAGACTAGGAGCAAAAAGGATAAGAAACAGATTCAATAAAGGAGAAGTTGTCATAAGTTAGTTTTCATGAACACACAAGAATAATTATAGTGAACTGATATTTGAGCTATCTAGTAAGTATTCTTCATTTTACCAAGAATCACTGTGGAAAGGAATGGTCTTTCTATATGCTGAGAGATGAAATATGACCTATAAACTTTTCAGTAATTACCTGTTATGAACTTTCTAGTCATTAATTTATCTAAGCTATTTTGGAATAGGTATTTTCAGTCTGTATATTACTTTTAGTTGGAAAAGAAACTCCTACAGTTTTATAATTTATGAAATAGTGTTTAATTTTGTGTCCTAGGCTTATCTTTTCTAATCTTATAATGACTCTTGTATTATTTCATAGAGTAACAATTTGCAGGCACTTTTCAAATTGCAAGGAAATATAGTATAACAAAGAGATAGAATTAGTTTTTAAAGAAATATTGCTGACTCTCATGTCTTACATTTTTAATAACTATGTATTATGAACTTAGCATCTTAGGGTGGTGCATCTTAGAACTTTTCAAACACTTGGTCCCGCTGCTATAGACATGTGGGATTCCTGAAGAGAGTCTAGGTATAAGTCTCTTTTAGGTGGATTTTAGGTTTGTAAAAATCATGATGTTATCTCTGGAAATGTATTTCATTGTACCATTTAAAATGCAAATAGAAATAATACTTTCATTGCTGAACATTTTGGTAATAGCATTGACTATAAAGCTGCTATCATTCATCTGTGCAAGGTAAGGTAATAACAAAGTCGTACTAGTATTATAGGCAGGAAGGACCCACAGAGTGTGGTCCATTTATTGGAAGACACAGCCAATGAGAAGCAGTTAATTCTTGGTAACTGCTTGAAAATCTCTATTTTCTTTTAAGAATGACTTTTTATTCAAATGTTTATTTATACCTGTGATATGCCAGGAATTTTACAAATGTTTTGTTTAAGCTAGGAAACTGTTCTCTCTGTTTTACTTATGGGAAACATGGGCTGAGGAAGCTGTATGACTCACTCAAATCCCTTTGAATGGTCGGTGTAGGAGCTAGGATTTGAATACATCCCTGTCTGGCCTCTGCTTTTTGTCATACTACATAGCTTTTCTGAACAACTTCACTGGCCCTTCTCAAATACTTATACCACTGGTTAGTATTAATTTTTACCAGTACTGGCCAACAGAAATATTCAGCAAGTCATATATAGGTAATTTAAAGTTTTCCAGTAGCACATTAAAAAAGAAAAAAGAAACCAGTGACATTGATTTTAATAATACGTAGCCAACTAACCAGGCAGTAAAAGGGACATCGGGACATGGGTAGTCCTCTTGCTCCTCTTCTACTAAGCAGGAATTGTCAACAGATGTGAAGTTGTGGAACTACAAAAATCATTGGTTTGGGAGGCCATGGTGGGAGCATTGCTTGAAGTCAGGGGTTTCAGACTAGTCAGAGCAACAAGTGAGACCCCATCTTTACAAAAAAATACACATACACACATACACACACACTCACACACACACACACACATTAGCTGGGCGTCGTGGCACATGCATGTAATTGCAGCTACCTGGAAGGCTGAGGCAGGAGGACTGCTTGAGCTCAGGAGTTTTGAGGCTGCAGTGAGCTATGATTGGGTCACTGTACTCCAGTGGGGGTGACACAGCTTGACCCTTCCTCTAAAATAAATAAATAAGTAAATATTATTGGTATAGAAGTATAAAAATCTCCCTGGCTTCTGTCTCATCTTCTGACTTTTCTGGAGGTGAAAACCTTTGAGAATGAAGATGAAAGTACTTACTTCTCAGAACTAGAATATCCACTTTTATTTCAGGGTTACTATTCTCAGAATAAAATTAAAGACTAAAAAAATATATATGAATTGACAGAAAAAATAAGATCTTAATTGCTGGAAGATAAAATAACACGGGGATTAATATGTTTTATTGTGGCTTCTCATCACGATTATCTTTTCCCAGACTGGTCTGATCCAGACTGGAGGCAACATGGTCACGGCTGGTTTATGCCTGAATTAATGTGCTAGTCAGACTGTGCACTTCCTAGGAGATGTTTAATTGTGACATGTCATGAGTTTCGGAATCTTAAAATTAGCTAAGAGGAAAAAAAAAATCTATTGAGAGAAGCCAAAATGAACAAACAAGCAAACAAACAAACCAAACAATAGCCTGCTCCACTGCCCCATAGCAACCTTTTAAATAAGGGTAAATAAGGGATGTCATTGATTGCTTAAGATTAAATCTATTTTTCTTTATTTATTTTCAAGGAATGGAAAATGTAGTTGCTTGCACTTCATAGAAAGTAGTAACAGGTTGTGTTCAACTCTCAGAAATGTAGTTTTCTTTCTTTTTTTTTTGGAAATGCTGTGGCAGTTTAACTCAAAACATCATTTATAGGAGCTCCTGAATTCATGTTTACCTGTTTTGAGTTGCATTTTTTACATTTTAATAATTAAAGCATATCATGTAATTCCCATAAACATTTTAACTTGAAAGAAGAATGATTTTATGATATCAGAGTCAATGTGTCCTAGTTTTATATATATATACACACACACACACACATATTCAACATGTCTTAGTTATGTATACATATATTTTTTCCCTCCAAACTATTCAATTTCAAACTAGTTATTTTCATGGTGTCATGATGAGATTTTAATTTTAATTTTGCTTTTATTCACAAATATTGTTTTAGTTCTGCTGCATGATCATGAAGCTTTTTTTTTTTTTTAAAAAAAAAG